ATACGAAACGACACAATACCAACAACGCGACAACGCTCCTAGCCCCTCGGTAGCCAACCCATAACTTCCCAATGCGGAAATCGGATAGGCGTCGCACGCTGAACTTAGTATAAAACCACGTGGATGCAGGGCATACTCACATCGATTTGCAATGCAGGCATACGCAAGCAGTCGCAACGATGACGTAATATGTAGTGCCCATAATCAAGCGGTCCCTCATGGATCCGAGTACCACTTATGACACTCAAGTATCAGACTTGAAGTGTCGTGAGGGCCTAACCCTTCACGACATTGCACGACTGAAGGAAAAGTCGTGCAGCCGCCGCTGCACCTTAGGCTCTCGACCTGAGTGTCTCGGTAGGTAAATCAAATAGGCTCTTCGCGAGGGAAAACCCCTCCCTTGCAGAGCCTAGGGCTTGGGATGTCCTGGACAAGGACCTCGAATCCCGGCCCAGGACCAAACGTCCGACTAAGAAAATCATCAAAAAGCAAGAGACAAGAATAAAATGAGAGACCTCCCCTAAGCCCCTCAGTCTCAGCTTCTGAGCGGACTCTAATGTGGGGGCTCTTCAACCCATGCAGACATTCATCCCAAGTATACCCATGTATATATATATAAGGGTTAAATATGTGACGATTATTTCTTATGGTTTCGCTGGGGTCTCTCACAATAATAAGTATATGTGTGATCGTAGGCAATCAAATCCAGAATCTGATTCACAGCACATACCTGCCATCACATCAACGAACCAAATCAACAGCCCACACACTACACGGAGTCAACCCCAACCACCTTCGACACTCATACCCCTCGCTTTTGCCATGCAAACCCCAAACCTCCTGTCCAACCAACCTTAATTAAATACTCAGCACCTTTGTTAAATGACCATTGAATAAAAGTCCGGGTAAAACCTTAATAAAACAACGAAATCACCAGGGCTAAAGCCTTTTAGGTTGAGTGTAGAAGGAAAGTTGAAATTGAGTCGTAGACCGACGAATCGGCAACCGACCTATTATCAGTGATAACAGTAAGTGATCCTCAAAGGATCAAGCTGGATCTAACCCTGAACTTGGATCAAATGATCAAAAGGACCTGTAACACACGGCAGACCAATCCCCAGCTAAGATCATAAGTGTATGGAGAATACAACTCCATAATACATCCTCACTTAAACTTCCTTATTAGCTAAATCTAAGTCTACTTTTAAGTCAGTGCTTAAGCTGAAGGTAGACCAACTGCAAAATCTTCCCTATTCTGGGTGGATCGCCTGAATCACCTATCAAAAACTAAAAAAATTTCGGCAGCGCTTCCCGTAGGAAAAGTGTCTTTTCATAATTTATATAAGCCGAGATATGAGAGCAGAAATAATCTCTAACTCTGGAAAGTCAAATTCTGTCTAACTCTCTGATTTAGTAGAAATTTAGGCAACACTCCCTTTAGAAAGGAAGACTTCCCAGATTTATACTAAGTCAGATATGAAAGCAGAATTAATCTCTAATTATGAAAAGTCAAATTCTGTCTAACTCTCTGAATTAGTAGAAATTTGGGCAGCATTTCCTTTAGAAAGGGAGACTTCCCACATTTATACTAAGTCAGATATGAAAGCATAATTAATCTCTAATTCAGGAAAGTCGAATTCTGTCTAACTCTCTGAATCAGTAGAAATTTGGGCAGCACTCCCTTTAGAAAGGGAGACTTTTTAGATTTATACTCAGTCATAAATGAACTCGAACAATAGCTCGTGCTCAACTTTAGACTGAATTTAACTAACTCCTTAATTTTGTAGAAATTTCGGCAGCACTTCCTCTAGAAAAGTGTTATTCCAAAATTTTATACAAAGCGAGGTCCAGAATTTGAGAATAACTTTGACTTCTCAAAGTCCAATTTTGTCTAACTCCCTGAATTAGTAAAAATTTGGGCAGCACTCCCTCTAGAAAAGGAGACTTTCCATATTTATATTAATTCATATATGGAAAAGACAAGTTGAACTCTAACAAGTCAAAAGTTGACTTACTTCTAGGATTTGTAGAAATTTCGGCAGCGCTTCCCGTAGGAAAAGTAGCTCGCCAAGATTTATACAAAGCCAAGTATAAGAAAAGATCTCAGAAAATGCAGGAATTGACCTAAGTAAAAAAAACGTTATTACAGAAAATGCAGGAATCGACACTAACTCCTATGGATCTAGCACGTGGCGAGCAGCTACAGCAACTACCTATAGTAACGAAACCCAAACAAACCAGTCATCCCATCCAGTCACATGCAAACCAAACCACGAATGTAAGTACTCTCACCCTCATAAGTTCATTCCATATAAATAGTTCGTGAATCTTCAAGTTCTTGAATCTTTATACCCATCTTACATAAGACATAGAGCTGGATCATTCGCCATGGAAACAATGCGCAACTTGTCTTTATGATATACACGAACAAGTTGCACAACTACTTCTTTTTTCTTTTGGGCAGATGACTAGGCCATTCGCCATGGAAACAATGCCTAGCCGCCCTGAGCTGTTTAATATCCCAATATTTAGTATTTCTCTGACTTTGTTTTCAAAAGAAAAAGCAAATATGGGCAGGGGACTGAACCATTCACAGTAGAAACAATGTTCAGCTTGCCCAAACTATTTTCATTTATACTTTGTATTTTTCTTTTTCTCTTGTTAATGATATGGCTTAACGCTGGACCATTCACAGTAGAAACAATGCCCAGTTGTCAGTTCACATGCAAATATACATAAAATACTTTCCTTTATACTTAGTTTAAATTATGTGCGTGGTTTTCAGGCTAAGCCATTCACAATGGAAACAATGCTTAGCCTTAGACAAAAAAATCCTCCCTCAGAATAAAATAAGAATTTAAACCCTTTCAATCAGGCAAAAACCCTCAGAGTTAACTAGAGTAGCCAGGCCATTCACAGTAGAAACAATGCCTGGTTCCTTAAAAAACAATAAAATAAACATAGCAACCAGACCATTCACAGTAGAAACAATACCTGGTCCTTCAGAAAACAGTCAAATAAACATAGCCCTGAGCCATTCACAGTAGAAACAATGCTCAGGCTTTGGTTGACTCTTCCAAACGCATGCAAAACTGCCTTCCTCCCACCTTCCCCCAATTTATCCCTTTGTCTGCTTTCAGTTAGAATAAAGAAAAAAAACTTAGGCTTCACTCTCACACGTTCCTTCCATTCAATCTGATTAGGTCCTGAAGATAAAGCAAAAACCATAGGGACAACACATGCATACCGCAATCATACTACAGGGAGATAGGCAAACATGGGTAGTAGTAGGTTTGTACAGATGGAAATGGTTTACCTGAAAGTTCCCTGCCTCCAGAACCTCGCCTAGGTTCCGGCAGAGCTCCCGCAATCGGTGGGTGGACTCCCCATAGAGTCTTGATGCGGACCTACGGGTTGCAATCCCGCCTGCCGCCTTCCCCTCGTAACCAGCAGACTAGACTTAGACTTAGAAAGATAGAGAGAGAAAAGTGTGAGACTCTCAGAAGGGTGCCCTCAGACTCACAAGASAGGGCCTTGTAATCTTCATGCGCTTGAGGGCCCCGCAATGACAGCCATATAGCAACCGCTTGGTCAACCTGAAGTCAACCCACCGTCCTCACTCTCCTGACGAACCCCCACTTCGCAACATTACTTCCCTTCTCAAAGCCCGAATGACTGCTATCCAGCCTAGACGGCCGCACTCGCATGACCTACACTTGTCCTTTCACCTCAACGAAGTAGCGGCACACAACGAACTGTGCCGCAGCGCTCAGTGGAAGTACAGCAACGCAGCCTTAGCCCAGCGACTGCCACCGCAATACAGCAACCTAGGTAGACCGCAGTGTTCACATCAATGGACAAACAAAAAATACTGCAGCCTTACCGCTTGTTCCTCACTCCTTAGCCTTGGCTGTCCATCTCGTTGCCGTTTTCGACTCGCTGCCTCGTTTGCAATTCTGGCCAGCCGTGTCCGAACAGAACCCAATGTCAACTCTCCGTAGCATACACAGTGTGAGGCCCGTCAGAGCACCGCAACCATGTGCCACAGCGGGANGGCCAGCCGTGTCCGAACAGAACCCAATGTCAACTCTCCGTAGCATACACAGTGTGAGGCCCGTCAGAGCACCGCAACCATGTGCCACAGCGGGACGCGAAAAAGCGGAACAAGTGTATGGCTGTATACCAGCAGCAGACCCTGGGTAACACCCAGCGAAGTACAGTAACCAGCGGGAGCTCACACGCAAGCAGACGAAACCCAGGCAGCAGGACCGTGACAGAGGCACAGGCAGGGCAGTCCGCACAACCAACACCGAGCAAAGGCAATACACCTCCTACTTACACCATGAGTAACCCCGGCCGTTCATTAGTTCCTGCCACCCCTCCTTTTCTTGTTGTTGTTCTGTCTCGCCCGCCATTCCATCCTTTATCTGCAAACGCCCCCCGTTGCTTCTCGGGCCAGGGCGACTTGCCTCCTTAGTATGCGGGGACCTCTATTAGGTGGGGTTTTCCGGGGCAGGGACCAGGACCGGGGAAGCCGCGATCAACAAGATGAAGACCGTCGTTCGAAAGAGCAGTAGATGGCCTTGAATATAACTTCGAACTGCCTACACGCTACAGAATAGGAATGTATCTCCTGCCAACCCGTGGGCAGATGCATCCCCGTTTTCGGTTTCCATCCGTGCGCAGCTCCGAACTCTCGAACCTTGCATCCACTGCTCCTTACAGACGTACTGCCAGGTAACTACGTCTGTCCGACACCTTCCCTTCTGCATAAGCAGCGCAAACGAGCTAAATCAGGATGGATCTTCCCCGGAATTCGACTACATACCTGCCTAGTGAGTACCCACTCCTCAGCTCAAATCCATACTACTCGTACGGGCGGTGCGGCGGGTTTAACAGGTAAGTCTCTTCCTCGCTGCCTACATGCGACCTTCCTATAGCAGCTGCAGTTTCAAAATCGAATGAATCTTCTGTAAAAGTGCGGATGGATTCATTCCCAACTTCGAATTGCCTTCCCTTACGTAGCCTATATCCCCCACAACGCTATAACTACCGCCTTGTTCCCAATTTCGGTCGTGCCATCGTCATAGAACCCCCGAGTAGGATCTGACCCCGCCCGTTTTCCGTCAAGGATCAGGCGGTTCTTCTCGCTTTCTTTCTCCCACCTACACTCCCTTCCGCCATCTCCACGCAACCATAACTACCACTAACTCTCATCCTATTGATCTAACCCCCAAACTAACTCCACCATTCTACTCGCAGTGGTCGAAAACCCCAAGATCGAGCTTTGGTTCGCCCGTTTTTATCGAGAATCGGRCGAACTACTCATCTCCTATYCTCRACATCTCTTCCCCTGCCATAGCCTCYGCGYAGRCTTTTTCTTACTAACTTCTWATTTACTCAACTACTCCCAAAACTAACGGCRCCATCAGAATCGCCCTGCCCAAAAACCTCAACTCCGACTCTTCAGTCACATAGATCCATCAAGGATCGAGTGCAATTCTCGGTCCTCCCCCTCACCAT